GCGGTGACGTCCACAAGAACCCCGGCCCGAGGAGGATGGCCTCATCAATATTTGGCGGCTTAGCATTGCAGGCCTCTCGTCCGTGAAAAAGGTTGCATTTGCGGCGCGATTGGAGCAGCGTCCACCTGACATCGTTCTTCTGCAGGAAATGAGTAACCGTGGTGACGTGGCGACGAAATTATCTGGCTATAATGACTACCTTCAGGCCACACTGGGCGCGGTGGTGGCGTTGCCATTCTGGTGCGCCACTCTCTACCGTGCGAGCGCCTGTCGCTCCCTGGCACTGACCTCCTGGAGACCATTGCTGTCCGTGTATTTCCGCCGGGCTGTCGCAGCATCTGCGTGGCGAGTCTCTACAACCCTCCCACAGCAATTGGCCAATAATCTGCATTTATCAATATCGTTTGTCGCTTGGGCCCGAAGAGGTTATCGCGAGTGACCCGAATTTGCATCGTGAACTCTGGGACAGTCATATACACCATCAAGGACTGGAGACGATAACTTCGCCGCTGTTCTAATCGATATGTATTTTGGGCTGGCGAATGACCCGACGCAGGCAACACGGATCACACATCGTAATGCCTCGTCTCCTGACGTGGCTGCGTATTGCGCCCCACGCATCTCCCACTGGACATCCACTCCCTCCATGGACTCGGACCACCGCTTAATATCTTACTTGGTAGATATGGATGATGGCACTCCACGACTAGCAAACACGCTGCCTTGACGGAAGAAAGCCACCTTTGCCCTGCGTAAAGCGGATTGCCCTGCTTTTACATCGTTGTGTGAAACCCTCCCTGCCACCGTGTCCACATGGTTGGATCCTCGCGGAGGCATCTTACGAGCAGCTGAGCGCCACATCCCGCGCGGCAGCCGTGACAGCTCCAAAAAGATATGGACACACGAAATGGAACAGGCCGAGTCCGCCGCCGAGGCAGCACACGAAGCACACACATTGCCTCACCCGGAGACAGCCTGCTTCGAGCCGAATTCATCCGAAAATGAAGGAACAAAATGAAGCCTTACGCCGTTGCTCCGCTATGCTTCTGGAGGCCCGCGCGAAAAGACTTGGGGCTTCACCCAGCCCGAGCTGGCGATATCTTCATGGCGTGGCGGCGCCGCACCCTCATCCTCTGGAATCGGTTGTGCTCCGCACTGAACTTGGCCGCGTATGCGCCCTGCCTCGGCAACAGGCAAATCTGCTTGTTCGTCATTTTGTGCGGTTTCAAGTGCCATAACGCCTTATACTGTCGCCGCTGCACTCCGCACTCCTTTGTTTCCTAGTGGCTGGGAAATGGATCGGCCTTTCCTGCCGTATGAACTTGACGTGGCCATCCGTGACTCTTCGCGTGGCTCAGCCCATTGCCCCGACGACATGTTGAATGAATTCCTTCACCGTCTCGGGCCCGTTGCGCACGGCACTCTTAGAACGATGATCCACAACTCCTTCGCAAGCGGCAGCCTGCGTGAAGACTCCATGAGCGGAAGTGACGACGGGGACTCTTCTTCACCGTCTCAGGTGAATATTTCTTGGTTGCCATTGTCTTCCATGGTAAAAAAGAGTGATGGTGAGGACTCACTGGGGCCGTGATTGAAGGTGTTGCACATGGCGGTAGAGGCAAATTTTTGTGAAACGAAACAACACCAAAAAGCAACAACAATGTTTTCC